TGTCTACTTTTGCAAGACCACGGCGCGTTTGTTCGGCGGCGTGGCGCGCCCAGCATCATCACGATCTTGCAGAATCGTTTCGATCTCGCAGCATCATTCACGCACGATCTCGCAGCATCATTCACGCACGATCTTGAAGCATCATTTCACGATCTTGAAGCATCATTCACGATCTTGCAGCATCATCACGATCTTGAAGCATCATCACAATCTTGCAGCATCACTCACGACCTTGCAGCACAGCTGAGACTCTCCACTCCCCCCATTCCCGCCACCAACGCGTACGCGTATCATCACCCGCTACTGCCGTACCCCCAATACCCGAACACCAGGTACGAAATGTTCGACAACATTTACAAGCTGGACGGGGTCCCCGTGGCCACGGTGCAGCTGCGCTTCGACGGGTGGGTGACCGAGCTCAACGACAAGGACAAGAGGAACGACGTAGCCTCCGACTACTCCGGCGGCAAGGCCCCCGGCCTGGACAACCTCCTGTACACCGCCGACGCTGAGTTCTCGTGCTTCGCGGACCTGGCGCTTACCAGCCCCAGCTCGGACTACTACAAGCCGGGAGAGGTGTGTGTGTTTGTGCACGGCCCACGGGCGTGCGTATTCTCTCTTTATGGTATCCCCTTCTGAAGCCCGCGAAGCAAGTCTTGTGCGCCCCACAAGCATACCGAAACGTTGTGAGTAAACATGGACGTCCAGAACAAATGGGATTTAACTCCCACACAAACACACAAAAACACACAATCGGGCGAGTGAGGGCTGGAATTTGCGCATGTTTGGTAGGAAAGGATAGGTTGCTGGTGGTGGTAGGCTGATTGTCGTTTCTTCGTCTCCTTCGCCTCTTTGTGTTGTGCGCTTTCCTGTAGGGCTCTCTGCTGCAGTGCGTCATGACGCCGGGAGACAAGTGGATGCCCAGGTCGACGGATGACATCGCGGCCGTGTGCCTCAAGCAGGTGACAGCGCAACAGGCGCCACTTCTTTTGGCTTCTTCACGTGTGTCGTTCGACTTTTTTTTTCACATTTCTTTGGTATATTTATTGTTTCGGCGCAAATTGGAGTTCCTGGTAGTCGTTAACTCTCGCTTGGTCGGACAGATAATCATACATAGTCTTCAGCGTTCACGTGTGTCCTTTCGACTTGAGCACGATATGTGTGGCGGAGGTTCTCGGCAGGAACAACAAGAAAAGAAACTGGTTCACATTATTTCCTTGGACGCACACGTTCCGACTTGTTTTGTGGGTGGTGGGTGGCGAAGTTGGGGTTTATGGATGTGACATGGATTTTCGTTTACCCCGGGGTGTGGAGGTTAGGTAACTACATTTGTTTTCTTGTCTCCTCGCTCTCCAGGACCGAGGACGGCTCGTGCGCTCTGCGTGTAGGCCGGTTGATCTCTCTGACAGCACGGCCCCACTAGTTGATCGTTTTTCTGTGTCTTGCCCGTTTGCGTGCGTCGTCGGGTGCGAGGAAGCAACAAGCCCAGCAGCTCTTGGAGCTACACGCGTTTTTTTTTTTGTTTTTCTCCTCCAGTCGCAAACGCGCCGTGGTCGTGGCTCTCGCAGCCCCTGCTGCTTTGTCAAGAAAACCCCCAAAAAAACAAACTTATCCCCGACGAACGATGACGACGTAGGTGCTGGAGCTCTTTCCGTCCGCGAGGGAGCTTAACTGCACGTGGACGAACGTGGTAAAGTTGGGGCAGTCTCTCTACCGCGAGGGACCGGGCTTGGACCAGTACAGGCCGGACCAGAGAACCCCCATCCCCAACTTCTTCATGGCGGGCTCTTACACTTACCAGGTGCGATTTTTAAGACAACCCGAAGGCACTGGAAGGGTTGTGGCCGTGGAGGTGATTTCCCTACGCACAACGGAGGAGGCTGTTGTTTCACAATTTCTTGTTTTTTTTGGGGCGTTTAGGTTGAGCGGGGTGGAAGGCGGGGGGTGGGGCGGGGAGGTGTTTTTGGAGTATAGCAGGAGGCGTTTTTTGGTGTGAAGAACTTGTCGGGGCGTTACGTGCCTAATAGAGATTTTTCGGGTTCCTCACCGACCACGCCGTCTGCTCCTTGCTGTTACCGACGGCCGTGATTCGTTATGTCGTTAACACGGACGGCTGTGCGAAGCGGCGCGTTTTTACGCGCAATACACGCAAAGTGGGCACAGGTCTTTTGAAGCCATGTAGAACATAAAGAAATGGAAAGAAACTGGGAACGTGTCGCCTTGCCATGTTTGTGATGCTAAAAGCTATCAGGGCAGGATTATTGAAGGCAATACAGGACAAAAAGAAGAAATTCGAAAAAAGAAAACCGTAAAGTATGGCTTTGCCCCATGTTTTGACGCTAAAAAACTTAGACTTATGCCAAATCCCGTCGTGCGTGTGTGACACTTGCAGGACTACATCGACTCCATGGAAGGGGCAACGAAGTCGGCCCTTCTCTGCGCCGACCGAGTCCTTGAGGACACTCCGGCCCTCGCCAAGGCCGCGAAGGAGCGAAAAGCTGTCGCGGCATGAAGAAGTTCTCGAAGAAATTGTCAGTCAGTCTATTGAACTAAATAGAACAATAGAACAGGCTTGCGGAGAGGAGGGACCACGACGTGCCGCTGTTGCCCGATGAAGTTCTGGAAGGAGCTGTCAGTGGTATTGAACTATTTAGAATGGGCTTGCGGGGAGGCGTGCCGCTGTCTTCTCGGATTTTAGTTGTTGAATAGAGACGGGGCGCACCGCAGAAGGGCGGAAGAGGTGGGGAGGGGGGGCACCGCAAAAGGGGGGGTGCTGCACGTCCTCCACGGCTGCGGCTGCCTAGCGTCCTTGAATCGTGTGTCGTCGACGAGGAGGTAGAAGCGAAACGGTCAGCCTTGATATTTCTGGACAATACGGGGGTGCATGCCAACCCCCCCCCCCCCCCCCCCCACACCACTCACGTTTTATGCCCAATTACACAACAACCAAACACCCTTATATCCTCAACGTGTGCTGCTATATTGTGTCATTTCCAT